ATAGAATAGAATAGAATAGAATAGAATAGAATAGAATAGAATAGAATTCTTTTATTGGCCAAGTGTGATTGGAAAATCACTGGGTGATTTGGGAGAGGGGTATTTTTAGTGCCCTCTAGGTGATGCTCTATATTGGGTGATGATGTCTATTTTTTTTTTTACTTTTTCTTGAATATGGGTGTAGGTAAGCTCTGGTGCCTTTTGCTACCTAAGTAGAACGCTTGATATTTCAATACAGTAGGGGTTGGCAACCTTTCAACATCCAGCACTATTACATGAAGTCAAGGGACATCCCAGATATCTCAAAATAAACAGTGCTCAGAATGTTGGCAATCTTACCCAGAGTTCAAGAGATCTCAATCTTATTGTTTGGTTGGAGTTTTTTCTCCCTTTGCTTATTTTTCTAAAAAAATCGTTCCAGCTTCATTTGAGGGGGTTGGCAGTGCTGCTTTGAGGTCAATGGGGCCTTTGTTCCCCAGATGTCATTCGTTAAGGACTACAGTACAATGTGCTGCTTAGATCTTGCTAGCAGAAACTTTATGCTTATAGCCCTTGCACTTGCTTACAAGAGCTATTTTGTCAATACAGGCAATTCTTTGTCGTTACAATGAAGAGACTCAGAAGCACACAGCTTTGAGTCTTAGCAAAGAACATAACCCAACTCAGTATGATGAGCGGATGAGGATCCAAAAGGCTGGAGGCAATGTCAGGTAACAAATAGGAAGCAACAAAGGGAAATGATGGGAAGGGATGTCAGAGTTGCCAAAAGTTTCAGCAACTACTTGAGGAATTTATGTGGCACAAAGCTTAAAACGTTGGTGTTGCAAATCGAGGTTGAAAGTCCCATGGATCTCACTGGCTGAGTTAGGGACACACTGAACTCAATTTTCTTTTTGTTATGGGAATAAAGTTAGGAAAAGCATCTGTATCAGTTTGAAAGGTTGAAAATGGTTGAAAATGTAATAAATGTTGGGTATTTAATTATGGGTATTACATATACATGCACAAGCTCCATATAAATTGTGATGTGGCAAATATATTTTAATTGATATTTAACATAACATTAAGGTTCTAACAAACATTTCATTAACAAAAAGGTAAAACAGGTTTTCCCAGCTTGATCCCCTTCAGATAGCTGTTTTAGATTATTGATTTCATTATATGATAAGAGTAATGTATATATAAGAGTAATGTATATAATGTAATACAGAGTACTTCCAAATAATTGTTCAGATAATCTAATGACTTGAGTATTGATTTCTGTTTTTAAATGTAAAGAAAACATTTGTATGTTGCTTTTAGTCACATTCTAAAATTAGAGATTGAAGCTGCAAAAAGAATTGTATCAGCCATTTGTGAACACTGTAGACAAAATGAAAGATTCTAGATTTTTCTTTCTTTGACCTGCTGTGTCTCTAGATAGTCTTGACCTACAACTGCCGTCACTCTGGATTAGTGACTATGTTTGATAGAAATTATGAGTGTTATAAACCAGAGTTTCTGTGGATCTACAGTTCAGAGTTACAATCCGTATTTTAAGGACTTAATTTAGTGACATAATTATAAATCCAGCACCCTCCTTTTTCTGTTTAGGGAAGGACGTGTTTTGGGTGTCCTGGAGGTCTCACGCTCCATTGGGGATGGACAATACAAGCGATTTGGAGTTATCTCTGTGCCAGATGTCAAACGCTGTCAACTTACACACAATGACAGGTAAAACTGAAACAGTACTCAGGTAAGGAAATATGCGGTGACTCTTCTTAATGGCTTCAAAAGTATAAGTACATGCTTTTTTTTGTACTTGGGTACATCTTACTGTCAGTTACTTTTGCAGATTTATCCTATTGGCCTGTGATGGTCTCTTTAAAGTCTTTTCACCAGAAGAAGCTGTGAACTTCATCATGTGTTGTTTGGAGGTGAGAGGAGGAAGGTTGTGTTGAGAAATCAAGAAGAGGCCAATTGTTTGCTTGTTCCTCTTTTACACTTACCATGTTGTCATTTCATCACTGAAATTTTTATTACTGTTTGCTAAAGGATTGTTGCAAACAATGTTTGAGAGGCAGCTGAGCTCTTTTGTTCTTTTCTGTTTTCTACTCTATCGGCTGTGTCCTTGCTTTCAACTTCAGCACAGACTTATTCCATCAGGTGACAAGATTATGGCCCAAGTGTTGCTTTCTCTCTCAGATTAGGAATCCAAGATACCCATTTATTTTGCCCCAGCAGCATGGCCCTGGGTTAAACAGGGCGACAGTTCTGAGACTGCAGAGAGAGTGGTTTTGCTTCCTGTTAAAATGCAGAAAAGGTATACAGGAGCATGCCCATTGTGTGAGTTATTTTTGTGGGAAAATAAAGGGGCCTTAAAACTAATACAGATAGTATTTTATGGAATTCAGCCCATTCTTATGTATTGTAATTTTAGAGTCGAGGCAAGATACTGTTTTCTTATTTGGGGGGACTTATTTCAGCAAATGAGGTTATCTCTCTCTTAGGTTACATTCTCTGTTTAATAGAACATGCAAATAACTATGTTGAAGCCTAAATTATTACTTCTAGACCAAGAGGTATGATGCAGATTCAAAATGTCAGATGAGACATGACTATATAAAATTAACTCATTGGAGTGAAAGGAAATTACCCTGACTTGTGTGATGTACTACTTCTCAACAGGACAAAGCTATTCCCCCAAGAGAAGCCAAATCTTCCGCTGATACAAAGTATGAAGCAGCCTGCAACAGGCTGGCCAACAAAGCAGTGCAGCGAGGATCGGCAGATAATGTCACTGTGATGGTGGTCCGGATTGAACAGTAATGGGACGAATATATGCAAGGAAGATCCATAACAGCATGCAGCAAATTTAATAGAACACAATAGTGTGTTTGTGAAATGTGCGCGTGTGTAGAATTTTATGGATTTTCCCCCAGATGCTTATTTGTAAATAAAAGGGTTTTTTTATAAGCATTCAGGTCAGTTCATTGTTTCATAAATTGTAAGTAATTGGGTCTTCTGTTTTCCTCCTTGAATGGGCTACAGGCAGTAACCTAACAAAATTTCATGCAGATAGTCATGTTGTTTGGTGTCTTACAAGATGCTTCAGGTTCCAAGATCCCACTTTTAAAAAGACAAAGGGCACTGGTATATTTAATTGACAACTTGTTTTAACTGAGCATGGGTTCTAAATTCTAATCCCTTCTTGGTTATTTCTTGAGTATATTTTGGACACAATTTTTCTGGTTGTCATGCAGAGAGGATTATACAGAATTTCTCATTCTGTTGAATAGGGTAAAGCTAACACATCCAGCAAATGAGGTTTTCCTTGGTAAATTAGTTTTTTATCCAGTGGAAAAAAATCGAGTAGGGATTTTGATAGTAATTTTGAAGACTGACAATTTGAATAATTCCTGGCCATAAATACTGTAATATAGTCATCTGAACTTTTGATTCAGGCTGCATGGATACTACCTCAAGTAATATTTATATAGCTGTATGCAAAATAGACTAAATTTCCAGTGAACCTGAGCTAGAAAGTGAGGTTAGATTAGATTTTAAATGCATGGAGTAGTGGAATAGGGCATTGTTAGATTCTTAGGCTGAAGTATTGGAAGAAAATATATTAGAATAAGTATTTTATGAATAGGATTGGGCTGTCATTGAGATGATCATATTTATAGTGACTGAAATTAGTGAGATTTTTCTGTCTGAATTTAAGTTGAGATATAGAGTAAATTTGTGCCTTGGGTCAGCATTGACATGCCAGTGTAGCTTGAGAGAACTAGCTAACATTGAATTATAGTTTATTTTCAGTTATAATACAAATTAAACAATTAGGAAAGAATTCAAGGTATGAGTTCACATGTGAGGAAAATCTTTTTTTGTGAAATAGCATTCGCCTCTCTTATAGATGCATAAAAGATGTCCATTAAGTACCATTATTCTGATGATTTAATTAATAGGAATAGAATTAAGGTATTATGGGTGATGATACTCAATGGTGACAAGTGTAAGGGAAAACTAAGGGGGGGGGGAGATAAGGATAGTAGGAACAGAATGCACCCCAAACTCAATATGAGCAAATGGGGGGAAAGGGAGCGGGGGAAGACAGGTTAATTTTGGATTGCATTAAATGAAGCTTTGTGGCTCATAGGAAGTAATAATTGCAGGTATTCTATTCTGCACTTGAAATCCTATGCCTATTCTGGACATCCCGCTTAAATAGCACATGAAGAAGCCACAGTGTATTTAGAGAAAAGCTACTAGGACAAGGCATACTGAGCTCTGTGAAGAACAACTAAAGATACTGGGCTTATTTAACTTGCAACAGAGAAAGCTAAGGAAGGTACAATACTGGTTTATACTGTAAACAGCTAAAACAGGCTATGTATAAAAGGGGATGGACCTGTTCTCAGTTGACATTAAAAGAACAATGAGCCAAATAAAATGAAAGATTCAAGTTTCAGGTAAGGACTAGTTAAGCTGGGTATTGAGAAAAGCTTGATGGATTCTTGTATTGAGCAAAGAAATGTTAGATGATCTGTACGGTCCTTCCAACTCAGAGCTTCTATGTTTCTAAGTGACATTGGGGTGCAGTTCAACCAATAATAGTTTGGCTTGTGTGGATGTCAGCAGCTGAGGTTATCAATCAAGTAATAAAATATTTTGCGAATCGACCCTTAAATTCTCAGTTTAATTTTCGATATCCTTTGCAAATATTGTCATGCTGTTAACTATTTGATAGAAGGGGTTCAACAAATAGAATTCAAACCAGGAAAGAATATTCTCCAATTTAAAAATACATCTTCAGTCAAACATTTTCAATATACAATATACAGCCTACCCATTTGACTGGTAAAAACAAGTAGAATTTCAAAAGTACCTGTAAACAATTGGATATAAAATTATATCTATAAATTGGTGCTCTCTGTTGAAATTACTGAGATATCACGAGTAGCTCCATGGTTCTTTTATATAATAAATCTACCAAAGAGTCATTTTTCCTGTGCATCAGCTTCATTGTTTGACCTATTTCTTTTGTAAGTAAATAAAACACATTTAAAAGTGAGTGAATGTGTTCATTCACTATTTTTTTAAGAGTAAACTAGAGTTACTGTAAAAATATACTATATAGTATATACACTGCTCAAAAAAATAAAGGGAACACTTAAACAACACAATGTAACTCCAAGTCAATCACACTTCTGTGAAATCAAACTGTCCACTTAGGTAGCAACACTGATTGACAATCAATTTCACATGCTGTTGTGCAAATGGAATAGACAACAGGTGGAAAGCATAGGCAGATAGCAAGACATCCCCAATAAAGGAGTGGTTCTGCAGGTGGTGACCACAGACCACTTCTCAGTTCCTATGCTTTCTGGATGATGGTTTGGTCACTTTTGAATGCTGGCGGTGCTTTCACTCTAGTGGTAGCATGAGACAGAGTCTACAACCCACACAAGTGGCTCAGGTAGTGCAGCTCATCCAGGATGGCACATCAATGCGAGCTGTGGCAAGAAGGTTTGCTGTGTCTGTCAGCATTGTATCCAGAGCATGGAGGCGCAAACAGGAGACTGGCCAGTACATCAGGAGACATGGAGGAGGCCATAGGAGGGAACAACCCAGCATCAGGACCGCTACCTCCGCTACGCCTTTGTGCAAGGAGGGACAGGAGGAGCACTGCCAAAGCCCTGCAAAATGACCTCCGGCGGGCCACAAATGTGTATGTGGCTGCTCAAATGGTCAGAAGCAGACTCCATGAGGGTGGTATGAGGGCCCGACGTCCACAGGTGGGGGTTGTGCTTACAGCCCAACACCGTGCAGGACATTTGGCATTTGCCAGAGAAACCAAGATTGGCAAATTCACCACTGGCGCCCTGTGCTCTTCACAGATGAAAGCAGGTTCACACTGAGCACATGTGACAGACATGACAAGGTCTGGAGACGCCATGGAGAATGTTCTGCTGCCTGCAGCATGACCGGTTTGGCAGTGGGTCAGTAATGGTGTGGGGTGGCATTTCTTTAGGGGGCCGCACAGCCCTCCATTTGCTCGCCAGAGGTAGCGTGACTGCTATTAGGTACCGAGATGAGATCCTCAGACCCCTTGTGAGACCATATGCTGGTGCGGTTGGCCCTGGGTTCCTCCTAATGCAAGACAATGCTAGACCTCATGTGGCTGGAGTGTGTCAGCAGTTCTTGCAAGACAAAGGCGTTGATGCTATGGACTGGCCCACCCACTCCCCAGACCTGAATCCAATTGAGCACATCTGGGACATCATGTCTCACTCCATCCACCAATGTCAGGTTGCACCACAGACTGTCCAGGAGTTGGGGGATGCTTTAGTCCAGGTGTGGGAGGAGATCCCTCAGGAGACCACCCGCCACCTCATCAGGAGCATGCCCAGGCATTGTAGGGAGGTCATACAGGCACGTGGAGGCCACACACACTACTGAGACTCATTTTGACTTGTTTTAAGGGCATTACATCAAAGTTGGATCAGCCTGTAGTGGTTTTTTCCACTTTAATTTTGAGTGTAACTCCAAATCCAGACCTCCATGGGTTGCTAAATTTGATTTCCATTGATAATTTTTGTGTGATTTTGTTGTCAGCACATTCAACTTTGTAATGAACAAAGTATTTAATAAGAATATTTCATTCATTCAGATCTAGGATGTCTTATTTTTGTGTTCCCTTTATTTTTTTGAGCAGTGTATATGCATGCATCCCCCCCCCATACATAAGTAAATACACAAGTATATAAAAGAGCTTCAATTTGCAGATGATTGATTGTACTGCAGGGCAGGGCAGTGCTTAGGCCTTATCAAGCCAGTAGCATTTCCAGAATGAGAAGGGTGGATGCACAACTTACTGAGAATATGCTTTCGCTAAAATAGAGCTATTATAATGCTCAGCTTAATCATTTTGATGCCCAGAATTCTAAATGTTCTACAGATGCTTCTGCCCTCTAGTGATCTTTAAAAGTGATTTTTGACTTTCCAGTTTCGTACATTATTTTCAAATTCTGAGCAGACAGGTAGCTTATAGAATAACAGAGTTGGAAGGGACCTTGAAGGTCACCTAGTCCACCCCCCTGCTCAAGCAGAAGAGTCTACTCCAAATATTAGCCTCTACCTTATTAGAAATGTATCTGTATGGAAAACAAAACAAAATATTTTTGAATGTAGAAAACTGGGTATCAAAAAATGCTCCCTTTTCTGGGTCTTATAGCTGCTTTTACTTTAAAGAGTGTTTTTAGGAAAGGAATATCCTAAAATGCATTATTTCTGAGTTTCCTGAATATTTGAGTGGATTTAACTTAAACTAGAATTTGTAGATGTGTGATTACTATGCGCCTATAAAGTTGTGTCGAACTGAGCTGGTGTCTGCCTGCTGCTATAACTCCCAACTAGTTTTGCTAAAATACTGTATATGTATTTGCTTATGGAAAGCGATTATGAGAAGGAGCAGCAGTTAAAGAAGTGGCTTTCAGGCTGGAATAGATAAGGGTGCGTCCTCTGCATTTCTCTGATATATAAATTAGAGAAATGGCTTAAAATTTTGTCTATGTGCCAATGGTGCTGTAGGGCTAGAGGGTGGTGCTGTGTTGGTTTTGTTGGATATCATACTACAGTTCTGATAGCTACAGGGAAAATAAAGACTATTACTCTGAAAGAAAAGTTCCCTTACTGTAATTGGTGGTTGCCTGAGCACATAATTTCATAAACTTGGTCTGATACAATTAGGAATTAAATTCACAGTGCACTTGCCTTTCCTCCATTCTTGGATTTAGAGCACCGGAACAATGTAAACTGACAGGTGTAAGGCAACAGTTTTTAGGGTTAGCAGCATTTATAAGCAACCCAGTACTACTGTAATTATTTGTGTCAATGTGATTGATAGTAATGTATATAGTGTCATCAGTTAAGAGCCGTAGAGTACCATACAAAAGGACATTTCACATTG